AGTAAATCAGCAATAAATAATAGGGACGAAAGCATTCTCTAGAGTTAATTAAGAATTTGAGGACTGTGTCCATCTACAAGGCTTCTAGACCTAATATCTACTGTCCAGTAGTTGTGTTATTGTTAACAAAATATTCTTCAATAATTTGGTTTTTGACATTTTTTAAACAAAAACTGAATTTTTTAAAATTATTATTTAATTATTAATATCTCATCAATTTTAATGAAATGGTTTTTATTTATTTTTTCTAGAAGGGAAAAGGAATGTAGTGTCACTCCACACAACTTTGATGTATAACTGTTTGAAAATAATAATCCAATTTGTAGTTGTTTTTCGGTATTCATTATTATCACACATTAAAATATTAAAGCAATGCTCACTCTACTTCATTCACTTCTCACACTCACTATTATTACACTAAGAAAGCCATGAAATGCCATTTTGAGCGCACCGACCTCACACAAATACCTCAAGATATATCTTAGGCTTCGAAGCTACCGCTTCCTCGATATAACCGTCTTCTTTATGTCTTTCTTCAAGATATATTCAGGATCTGTCTTGTCTTGAAGGACATTCCTCCGCTAGCCGAAGACGAACGGCTATCCCGGTATTTCTGGTTGCCGCTGTCTGGCCTGGTGCAACCTATCGGGGCAAGTTGTACAGAAGAGACTTCTGTATTTAGTAAAGTCTTAGAAATTTACGGTGCTAATCGAGAATATATTTATTTTGTTAAAATTCAGGTTACAGAAGATAAATAATGAGGAAGTAGTAATTTTTGAGATTTTTTAATATGTATAAAAAGATGTCCAAAATGAATGCTTCCTGATTATTGACCTTCTGTGATATGTTTACAATATTACAGTCGGCTAACTATTTATCTCCTGTGATATGTAATATAGTCGGCTAACTATTTATCTCCTGTATTATGTAATACAGTCGGCTAACTATTTATCTCCTGTATTATGTAATACAGTCGGCTAACTATTTATCTCCTGTGATATGTAATATAGTCGGCTAACTATTTATCTCCTGTGATATGTAATATAGTCGGCTAACTATTTTTCTCCTGTGATATGTAATACAGTCGGCTCACTATTTATCTCCTGTGATATGTAATATAGTCGGCTAACTATTTTTCTCCTGTGATATGTAATACAGTCGGCTAACTATTTATCTCCTGTGATATGTAATACAGTCGGCTAACTATTTATCTCCTGTGATATGTAATACAGTCGGCTAACTTCCTTCAATAAAAACCCGACGAATAACTAATACAAGTATAAAGATATTCTCCGCAACAGCAGTAATATAAAAATGATAAAATGAGTAAAAGAACTTTCAACAAATTAACAATGAAGTAATTTTTAAAATAAAATACTCTCAAGTTGTAAATAAGTGAAATTTAAACAGTACCTGCTGGATTTGTTTTTAGCATAACGTCTTGGTTTCCTGATGATAGTGAGATAATTTCATTGCTGTAGACTTTTTAATATCACCCTTCAATCAATAGCAACGAAGGATGTCAATGAATATGAAAAACATAGGTAATTATGTAATCCAGCTTCGCGTGAATATAGTTTGTAATCGCTTTGAGCTGGGACACACTTTTAAACATATTAGTGTCGAGTTAAGAGCAGAAATTTTTTCACAAGGACAGCTATATTTTGTCATCATCTCTGGTTAAGATCGCGGGGATGACCGGTGTATACTTACCATATATACTTATATTAAAGTCAGAAGGGACTAAAAAAATCCTTTTCTTTAAATATTTTAAAAAATAGTGTGTTCGTAGCATACCTCTAACTGAAGACAGTTTCCGTCATGTTACCTTTTTAATAAATGGCTATTTCGTTTCTACATATGAATTTCGTATGTTATTCAAGTTCAGTATCTCATGATATGAGGGCTTGATGATGTGATTATATGTATATTTCACACAAAACCTTCCTGAACACGGGTAAACTAAACAATATGTAACAGGCTTTAACATACTACACGACGGCTGTCCACACGATGGACAGATACCCAATTTTCAACACTGAAGTGAGGCTGCAGAAAATGAGTGAATATTCGAGCAAGGCTGAGACAAAACGTTAAGTTAAAACAACGCCCTGTCGGCTATTGACCAATCAGCCAATGAAATTAAGAAAGGCAATTTAAATTAAGAAAAGCATAGCAAAGCTTGTTGTGCTTTTTTATTTTTCTTATGAGTTTTGTTTCTTTTATTTTGAGTTATACATTTTTTACTGCATTTTATTTTTTCATTTATTTAGTAATATGTTGCCTTTTTTTGTTTATTATTTTCAATAATGAACCATTGTGATCGAACAAAATATTCAAACACTTAACCCTCTCTCAAAATTTGAGGTTTTATGTTTTAGGGTACTTGGAATTCGAAAAAAGAATAAAAATTTTTTGTCTGTCCACCATCCGCCGTCCGCGAATTTTTTCCGAAACTACTGAACCGATTTTATTCAAATTCGGTTTTAAAATAAGAGGTCACCCGAAAATGATGCTCCTTAATCGACATTTCTATTCGCCTTTTCCTTTCAAGATGGCGACTGAAAAACCTGCGTTGCTTTAGACCGTAGCGCCTGAAAGAATGTACCGATTTCAATGAAACTTCGCTAAAGTCTTCTTCTCGATGCTCTTTAAATTTATCTATATAACATACTTCAACGAAAAGAAGCTGGAAAAAAAATTACGAGGGATGGTAAAATTAGATTCTGAATTACTCAAAAAAATATATATTTCGTTATATGATTAAAAAAAAAAAACGTTTTGTCCAATAATTGGAATCACATTTTATTTATTACTTTCACTTACGTATATATGAAATATATAGTAAGTGTAAGTATTGCGATCGTGAAAATTTTCGAATCTCAGTTTTCAACGGAAATACGTGTTTTGAGGTCCCCTGAGTCCAAATAACCAAGTGTCGCAAAATGGCTTGTATGTGTGTGTGTGCATGTGTGTATGTGTTAACAGTCTAGCTTATAAACGAAAAGTAGTGCGAAACTTATATTAAGTATTTAAGGTTTGTATATGGGGCGGACCTGACAGTAACTTTTTCGTTTAAATCGGCTAACCAGAAGTGCCAGTTTATATGAACGCTGAAACACATTTTTAAAATTTTCTCAAAAATGGCTCTAACGATTTTGATTAAACTCGAGTGTATCATTGTATAATTAAGTGGTCTTTAATATCATTTAGGTCTTATCCCCGTTGATGTCACTTTACAGGGCTTAAATGCCCAATGTTCACATGCATTTTCCTCTAAAGTACCTTTAATCTGGTTTATTTTAAATAATCAATTATCTCTCATTATTAAAAGTTATGAAAAAATGCTAAATATAACTTTTGAATGAATTTGATAATTGAATAAAGGATAAAAAAATAAAAATGCCTATCCAGGTCGAAAATGAATCTCTGGAAATACTAGTCCGAAGATATACGTATAATATATCGTTGGAAAGCGGAGAATTTTAGAAAAAAACAATATCGAATATAGAAAGTTGTAACAGGAAACTGAGATTGGCAAAAAAATTATAAATAATATTTTTTGAAAACTAATAATATTTAACGTAAATCACATGTTTTCAAGGAAATTAAATGAAATTTATTAACTAAATACAACCTTTTAAAATACTTTTAAGTTTTAAAGAAATATTTAAGATCCACCTAATAAAGGCAATGACATTGTTTAAAGAACTATTTCATTGTACTTGTGTGAAAGAACAAGTAAAATATAAAAACATTTCGTGCATAAGTTTATAACCTTAAATATATTTACTGTAGTTTAATAATTTTATTACAATCCATAATCAATTGATCGTGCAATACATGATCAACGGATCGTACAATCCATAATCAACCGGTGATGTAAGAAATAGGTTTTTGGTTATTTTAATGGTATTTATGATTTGTTAGCTGTATTTTTTTAGCTTCAGCTCAGTTAAAAGTGCAATTCAAAAATGTTATAATAGTCCGATATGGCCAAACATTATTTCTATTCAAAGTTTAGCGGTAAGTGAAAGTTGTGTGTTGCCCTCACCAGATTTTTTTTATTTGTCACTAGGAAGGTAATGTTACTTTAGATTTATAATTGTTTGGGAATAATAAACTATTGTGAAATAATTTGTAGCGTTTTTTATTGAATTTTTCGAATGTGATAATTTTATTTTTATTGTTTGTATATAAATATATATAATTTTTATTCATTTAAATTTAATTAATCTTTTAAACTAATATTATATATATATTCTTGTATTAATAAAATATTTTTAAAAAAGAAAATGTAGCGTGGTGTTGCACCGTACACAGACGGCCTGCCATTGACAGGCTCGAGGTCCCAGCGCTTGGTGTTCTGCCAGTCCTCTGCTGTCGCTTGGCTATTCAGTACTTGCTACTCCAGGGGTTGAGGGAGCAGTTCGAGGTCCGAGGACCTGTTTGAGTTAAACAATTCAGTTCTAACTACAGAGGAAAAAATATAAGTGACTTAAGTTTTTAATTTGATCCATTTCTAGTAGATTATAAATATAAGTAGTGAAACGATAGTTAATATTGAGTGGATCCATAAGTTCGTTCGGTTTTTCTTAGTAGTGCGAATTGTTTTAAAATATCCCCAGTTCTCATTGCGTTATCTAACAATAATGATACTTATCGAAGAGGTCAAATTCTGCTCTTCGATACTATTGTATTTGGTTTTATTGGCATTAGTTTTGTTTGTGCTATACTGCAGTGAATATGTTAAATGATAAAGGTCATTTTCGACATATTTTACTTTTATATTTTATTTCAAAAAAGGCAAGTAAGCATCGGATGTCCACCAAAAGATCGGTAAGGTGTAAGGTATACGGGGAGGATAGAGAGGGGGGGAAGGGGAAGGTATACGGTGACGATGGAGGGGAAGATATACGGGAACGATGGAGGGGAAGGTATACGGGGACTATGGAGGGGAAGGTACACGGTGACGATGGAAGGGAAGGTATACGGGGACGATGGAGGGGAAGGTATACGGGGACGATGGAGGGGAGTGTATACGGGGACGATGGAGGGGAAGGTATACGGTGACGATGGAGGGGAAGGTATACGGTGACGATGGAAGGGAAGGAATAAGGGGACGATGGAGGGGAAGGTGTACGGTGACGATGGAAGGGAAGGAATACGGGGACGATGGAGGGGAAGGTATACGGGGACGATGGAGGGGAAGGTATACGGGGACGATGGAGGGGAAGGTATACGGGGACGATGGAGGGGAAGGTATACGGGGACGATGGAGGGGAAGGTATACGGGGACGATGGAGGGGAAGGTATACGGGGACGATGGAGGGGAAGGTAAACGGTAACTGAGCCTACTCCTCAAAAATAGTTTGGCAAGTTTCGTTCTGGAGGTAAAAAAAAGTCTCAAAGATGTAACCCGCAGCGGTCGAGGTTAATTCCATTGTTATCGAAGCTCTAACCCAGCAAGGTATACGGGGACGATGGAGGGGAAGGTATACGGGGACGATGGAGGGGAAGGTATACGGGGACGATGGAGGGGAAGGTATACGGGGACGATGGAGGGGAAGGTATACGGGGACGATGGAGGGGAAGGTATACGGGGACGATGGAGGGGAAGGTATACGGTAACTGAGCCTACTCCTCAAAAATAGTTTGGCAAGTTTCGTTCTGGAGGTAAAAAAAAGTCTCAAAGATGTAACCCGCAGCGGTCGAGGTTAATTCCATTGTTATCGAAGCGCTAACCCAGCAAGGTATACGGGGACGATGGAGGGGAAGGTATACGGGGACGATAGAGGGGAAGGTATACGGGGACGATGGAGGGGAGTGTATACGGGGACGATGGAGGGGAAGGTATACGGGGACGATGGAGGGGAGTGTATACGGGGACGATGGAGGGGAAGGTATACGGGGACGATGGAGGGGAAGGTATACGGGGACGATGGAGGGGAAGGTATACGGGGACGATGGAGGGGAAGGTATACGGTAACTGAGCCTACTCCTCAAAAATAGTTTGGCAAGTTTCGTTCTGGAGGTAAAAAAAAGTCTCAAAGATGTAACCCGCAGCGGTCGAGGTTAATTCCATTGTTATCGAAGCGCTAACCCAGCAAGGTATACGGGGACGATGGAGGGGAAGGTATACGGGGACGATGGAGGGGAAGGTATACGGGGACGATGGAGGGGAGTGTATACGGGGACGATGGAGGGGAAGGTATACGGGGACGATGGAGGGGAAGGTATACGGGGACGATGGAGGGGAAGGTATACGGGGACGATGGAGGGGAAGGTATACGGTAACTGAGCCTACTCCTCAAAAATAGTTTGGCAAGTTTCGTTCTGGAGGTAAAAAAAAGTCTCAAAGATGTAACCCGCAGCGGTCGAGGTTAATTCCATTGTTATCGAAGCTCTAACCCAGCAAGGTATACGGGGACGATGGAGGGGAAGGTATACGGGGACGATGGAGGGGAAGGTATACGGGGACGATGGAGGGGAAGGTATACGGGGACGATGGAGGGGAAGGTATACGGGGACGATGGAGGGGAAGGTATACGGTAACTGAGCCTACTCCTCAAAAATAGTTTGGCAAGTTTCGTTCTGGAGGTAAAAAAAAGTCTCAAAGATGTAACCCGCAGCGGTCGAGGTTAATTCCATTGTTATCGAAGCGCTAACCCAGCAAGGTATACGGGGACGATGGAGGGGAAGGTATACGGGGACGATGGAGGGGAAGGTATACGGGGACGATGGAGGGGAGTGTATACGGGGACGATGGAGGGGAAGGTATACGGGGACGATGGAGGGGAGTGTATACGGGGACGATGGAGGGGAAGGTATACGGGGACGATGGAGGGGAAGGTATACGGGGACGATGGAGGGGAAGGTATACGGGGACGATGGAGGGGAAGGTATACGGGGACGATGGAGGGGAAGGTATACGGGGACGATGGAGGGGAAGGTATACGGTAACTGAGCCTACTCCTCAAAAATAGTTTGGCAAGTTTCGTTCTGGAGGTAAAAAAAGTCTCAAAGATGTAACCCGCAGCGGTCGAGGTTAATTCCATTGTTATCGAAGCTCTAACCCAGCAAGGTATACGGGGACGATGGAGGGGAAGGTATACGGGGACGATGGAGGGGAAGGTATACGGGGACGATGGAGGGGAAGGTATACGGGGACGATGGAGGGGAAGGTATACGGGGACGATGGAGGGGAGTGTATACGGGGACGATGGAGGGGAAGGTATACGGGGACGATGGAGGGGAGTGTATACGGGGACGATGGAGGGGAAGGTATACGGGGACGATGGAGGGGAAGGTATACGGGGACGATGGAGGGGAAGGTATACGGGGACGATGGAGGGGAAGGTATACGGGGACGATGGAGGGGAAGGTATACGGGGACGATGGAGGGGAAGGTATACGGTAACTGAGCCTACTCCTCAAAAATAGTTTGGCAAGTTTCGTTCTGGAGGTAAAAAAAGTCTCAAAGATGTAACCCGCAGCGGTCGAGGTTAATTCCATTGTTATCGAAGCTCTAACCCAGCAAGGTATACGGGGACGATGGAGGGGAAGGTATACGGGGACGATGGAGGGGAAGGTATACGGGGACGATGGAGGGGAAGGTATACGGGGACGATGGAGGGGAAGGTATACGGGGACGATGGAGGGGAAGGTATACGGGGACGATGGAGGGGAAGGTATACGGGGACGATGGAGGGGAAGGTATACGGTAACTGAGCCTACTCCTCAAAAATAGTTTGGCAAGTTTCGTTCTGGAGGTAAAAAAAGTCTCAAAGATGTAACCCGCAGCGGTCGAGGTTAATTCCATTGTTATCGAAGCTCTAACCCAGCAAGGTATACGGGGACGATGGAGGGGAAGGTATACGGGGACGATGGAGGGGAAGGTATACGGGGACGATGGAGGGGAAGGTATACGGGGACGATGGAGGGGAAGGTATACGGGGACGATGGAGGGGAAGGTATACGGGGACGATGGAGGGGAAGGTATACGGGGACGATGGAGGGGAAGGTATACGGGGACGATGGAGGGGAAGGTATACGGGGACGATGGAGGGGAGTGTATACGGGGACGATGGAGGGGAAGGTATACGGGGACGATGGAGGGGAGTGTATACGGGGACGATGGAGGGGAAGGTATACGGGGACGATGGAGGGGAAGGTATACGGGGACGATGGAGGGGAAGGTATACGGGGACGATGGAGGGGAAGGTATACGGGGACGATGGAGGGGAAGGTATACGGGGACGATGGAGGGGAAGGTATACGGTAACTGAGCCTACTCCTCAAAAATAGTTTGGCAAGTTTCGTTCTGAAGATAAAAAGTCTCAAAGATGTAACCCGCAGCGGTCGAGGTTAATTCCATTGTTATCGAAGCTCTAACCCAGCAAGATATACGGACCGGTCGCTACAGATACGAGAAGTAGCAGAGACCCTGAAAATAGCTTTAGGGACCGTTCAAAGGCACTTAAAACTTGACACCGAAACTTTGGAACCGTCAAAGGCATTTATTTTTCACACAAATAGTGATGGGTGGGGAAAAATTATTATTTTCAAGTAAACTATTTCCATTTGAATTTTTACCAAGATAAAAAATATTTGTAAATTAATTCTCTGAGATGTTTTTTTTTTTTTCGAGATTTTGCATCTTAATATTTCATGGAATCCAATGATTATACTATCATTATGAAGTTTTATTTCACTTCAGAAAAAGTTAGCACGTCATTCAGAAAAGTTAGGAAACAAATTTGTGAAGAAAAAGAAACTTTAATCAAACAAGACTCAAACAGTAAGCAATTAATGGTTCAGTCTACTGATAATAATTTGAAAAGTTTACAAATTTCACACAAAAAGAAAGATTTAAATTCATTTCATATCTATTTTTACTTTTACTTACGTATATATGTAATATATAATAAGGGTAAATATTGCGATCGTAAAGAAATTGGAATCTGAGTTTTCAATGGAAATAGGCGTTTTAGGATACCCTGAGTCCAAATAACCAAGTCCCGAAAAATGGTCCGTGTGTCTGTGTATGTTAGCAATCTAGGTCAAAATTGAAAAGTCGTACGAAACTGATAATACCTATTTAAGATAAATATATGCTTTAGATGTGACAGTAACTTTTCCCTTTAAATCGGCTAACCGGAAATGCAACTTTATATCAACGCTGAAAAACATTTTTACAATTTTCTCAAAAACGACTCTAACGATTTTGATTAAACTCGGTGTATCATTGTATAATTAAGTGGTCTTTAAATCAATTAGGTCTTATCCCCATTAATGTCACTTTAGAGGGCATAAATGCCCAATGTTCATATGCATATTCCTCTAAAGTACCTTTAATATGATTTATTTTAAATAATTAACTATCTCTCATTATTAAGAGTTAAGAAAAATGCTAAATATAACTTTTGAAAGAATTTGATAATTCAATAAAGGAGAAAAGCGTCTGCCAAGTAAGGTCAGTATAGCTTCCTCACCGTTTCCGCTGTATATTATAAGGTATACAATTTTTCGTATGAGAATAAAATATCTGAGAGAAGCAGAATCGGAATAGCTGATTACAGTTACCCTTCAACATTCAACAAAAGTGTGTCGTATTTGAAGATTCCATACTTGATTATGCTTAATAAAAATAAAAATAAATGCATACTGAACATGAATTTCAATACTGTTAGTGCAAAAGGTCTTACGTAAAAATTTATTTATTGTTTTACAAGAGTGCATAAAAACTCATTATTTCTTTATGGTTTAATAGAATAATTTCATATTTTATTGTCATCTGCTATTTTCCATAGCAGCAGACTACTTATTTCAGTTGCAGACTACAAAATGTCACCATTAATACACATAGAATTAAAGTTGAAAATTTTTACGTTCGAACTTTTGCTCTGATAATAGTGATATACACTACAGGATCCAGATTTAATTTTAGGGGAGGGACTTCAGCCCGAAAGATTTTATATATATATATATATATATATATATATATATATATAACGATAATTAATTTGAAAAAATCCACTGCAAATTATTTCACTATGGTATATATTTCCAAACAATTATACATATAAAGTAACATTAAATTCCTAGTTATATAGAAAAATGAATAAAAGGTGATTCCAATCATTTGACTAAACTTTTTTTTTAATCATTAGTAATATGCTAAAAAATAGCATTACTTCAGTAACACATTCAAAAATCAAAACAAAAGATAAGTCTTGTGCAATAGCATATCTAAAAAAAAAAATAGAGACCATATCTTTGCTCCTAATTGTCAGATTTTAACGATTTTTTTTTTTTATTTTTTAGGAAATTCGAATAGCTTTGAAAAATCTTATTACAATATTCAGAAAAATGTGTATACTTCTTGAGTTATATGGAATTTAATTTTACCATCCCATTTTTTTTGAGCTTCTTTTCGTTGACGTATGTTGCATTGATAAATTTAAAGGGCGTAGAGAAAATGACTTTGGCGAAGTTTCATTAAAATCGGTATATTCGTTTAGGCGCTACAGTCTATAGCAACGCATGTTTATCGGCCGCCATGTTGAAACAAGAAGGCGAATAGTAATGTCGTTGAAGGAGTATCATCCTCGGGTGACCTCTGATTTTATATCCAAATTCGAAAAAAATTGGTCCAGTAGTTCCTGAAAAATTACGCGGACGGCGGACAGTGGACTAGTAGTGCATATATAAGAGAAAGTGGTGGACAAAATTCAATAAAATTGACATTACGTTATTTTTTCTCCAAAGTATACCTTTTATCTAACTTTGAGCCAAATCGAACGAGCCCTTTCTGAAATATTGGCATATCTAAAAATATACGTTTGGGCGTGCGTAAGCGGAAGTGCTGGATGGAATTTGATAAAATTGATATGGGACCATCTTGGCACCAATCAGCATAATCCCTGAAAATTTGATGAAGATAGGATGAACGGTACTAGGTGATATACCCATCACATCGATTTGACTACAATCCTTGATGTCTGAAACGTAAAACGCGAGTGAAAATTTTCGATTCTGAGCAAAAAAATGTTTTTAATCTCTCGCACGAACACAATGCTTCCCTACCTTCGGTAGAGAGGAAGCAAAAAATAAAAAATGCTTATCCAGGGCGAAAATGAATCTCCGGAAATACCAGTCAGAAGGTATACTTATAATATATCGTTGGAAAGCGGAGAATTTTAGAAAAAATAATACCTTATATAGGAAGTTGTAGAAGGTAACGGAGAGTGACAAAAACATTATAAATAATTTTTGAAAACTAATAATATTTAACGTAAATCAATATGTTTTCAAGGAAATTAAGTGAAATTTACTATCTAAATGTAAAATTTTAAAATATTTTTAAGATTGAAAAAAGTATTTAAAATCCCCCTAATCAATGCAATGGCATTTTATAAAAAAACTATTTCATTGTACTTGTGTGAAATAAGTAGTGAAATATAAAATCATTTCATGGCTGTTTAAAACATATGTTTATAACCTTAAATACGTTTACTGTAGTTTGATAATTCCAGATCTGATATTATACTTAAATAATTAGGTATCAACGTCCGTTTATTCCGAAATATTGTCATGTAACTTTTTAGAAAATTTAATTAGTGTATAATTTGATGAATCTTCCCCATATGATATTCCAACACTATCCACTACTATTTCATTGTACTGGTGTGAAATAAGAAGTGAAATATAAAGATATTTCATAGATACGTTTATAACCTTAAATATATTTGCTTTAGTTTAGCAACTCTAGATCTGATATTATATTTAACTATTTAGTATCTGTCGTCCGTTTATTCCGAAAAATCATTATGTAACCTTTTAGTAAATTAAATTAGTGAATAAGTACTATATTAACTTATTTTCAGAATAGTATAGTACTTCAGGATACTTATTATAATACATTATTTTAGAATGTGAAGTTGATTTCGGAATTATTCAAATTTCAAATTTGGTAGATATCTCCTTGGAGTTTTTCAGTAGTTATTTATGTCATTGATAAAAAAAAAACCAAAGAAAATTCTTATATACCAAAATTATTGAATTCTTCCTTTTTACATAACATGGACATTGTTAAGAAATATTGTAAGGGAATGCATATCTATCGTAATTAATAAAGAAATTGTTGTTCTAGGGTGGTAAATGAGTTCCCTGATGCATACATCGCTCCTTTAATTATATATATATGTAATGACTTTGTTTGTTGATTTATTGTTTACATTTCTACCCATACATTCTATTTCAATCAGATGAATTAGACTAGACAAAAGGATCCTGAATTATGAATGAGATAACTGATTCCCGAATTAAGGTTGAATTAAAGGGGCGACCCGAAACAGCTGGCTCGGGAAAAGACAAATAGCTTTTGTAACTTGGCGCCGAGAAGGCATTCCCTCCAATTTAGCCCAATCAAATCGCGATCTCTACAAGGCCACTTAGATTCCATAACTTGTTTCGTTTCCTAAACAGTTCCATGTTAGATTACGGTTATATACAAAAAAATTTGAATTTACAGGTGTTTTTTTTTGTTTTTTTTTTTGTTGGTATATTGAGATATTTTACATTCTGTCACAACTAAGGATATTAGTAACAGTGATAATATAATTGATTCACTCCATATTTATAATAAATAAAAGTAATATCTCTCTATTATATCAAAACAATTATTAGTGTAGGCCATATTTTATTTTATTTTAGTATTAGAAGAGTAGGAGATTACAGGATTTCTAC